CTGCAGGGTGATCACCTTGTAGATAATCACTGTACTTTACACCTGCAGACTGAAGAGGTGTAGCTTGTTGCTAAGTCTACCCAACAAGGCAGCCAGTTTGATGATGATGGACTTTAACTCTTTAACTTACAAATATACCATAGAAATTTGTATTTTAAAAAGCAAGAGTTCGGCTGGCCCGTGGCTCACTCGGGAGAGTGTGGTGCTGATAACACCAGGGCCACGGGTTCAGATCCCTATAGGGATGGCCGCTTAGCTCTCTTGGGAGAGCACGATGCTGACAACACCAAGTCAAGGGTTAAGATCCCCTTACCGGTCATCTTTAAAAGAAAAAAAAAATAATAATAATAATAAAGTAAATAAATAAATAAAAATAAAAAGCAGAGTTCACAAAATTGTGACTAAATGGCTAAATGCAGTTTCTGACATGTCTTATTTGGCTTGTACAGTATCTACAAAAAATAAAAGGCCAACATTTTAAGACTTTTCCATGGAAAAATCCATAGTTCCAGCTTCTCTTGAAAAAAAAGTCAATAGACCTTGCAATACTAGGTTTGAATTATACCAGGCAACACAAAATAATGGTTAAAATGGTCCCTTGTCTTCCAAACATGAAGCTGAGTTTCAATTATTGTTTCATGGCTGTTTTTCTTATAGAACTATGTCTTTTTATTCACACCTCTAGCATGAGGACTCTGTGGTTTAAGAAAAATGAGTATCAGTTTGTGAAAATGCCCAGCCCTCTGAACTTCACCTGCCAGACCCTGATTTTGTGACTTCTGATGACACTACTTCCCCTGCAGCCCTCCCCTGTGGTGGCTATTTTCTTTTCCACACTTCTCAGACCATTGGGCCTGGAGGTAGAATCCGCTTCCTTGTCCTCATTGCTGCTTCCCATCCATTCTCCTCTGCTTCCTCCATTAAAAACACGTCATCAGCTACCTGGGTACTTGTTGCAGTTATCTACTCATTCCGTATAGTCCCCTCAATTCCCCTTCCTTCCTTTAATATCTTTGTTGCTGTCTCACGCTCTACAACACTACTAATGATATTTCTTCTTGATTAATACCCACAAACATGATCCTTCCAATGTCTTGGCCTCTGAGTTCTCTGGCTCTTTCCTGTGATAATTGTCTTCTACTCTACCTTAGCTGCAACTTTGATCATAACCTTGAGCTTGTCATTACCAATAACTGAAACTTCTAAGACCTCAAACAGCCCACTTTCCAACCACTAACCCCTTTTCCAGCTCCTTCACTGCAGAACCCCATCTCCAGTGATGTTTTGATCCTATGGGGAATGTCTGTCCATTGATACCACCACCTTTCCACATCTCCCACCCCTCTACTTTCTCCTTAAGACAATCATCACACACATGCTTACATACATTCGTAACTCCCCTGCTTTTCTATCTCATCATACTCACACGGCTTAGACACAACCTGATTAAATACAACTGCTTATTCCATGCCTGCACACATGCAACAGAACATAATCCCCCCCCCCTCTTTTTTTCCCAAAGGATTTGGGGTTGCAGTAGACAGTTGTAAATTTTTTGCAAGCCAACATCTAAGCATCCTTCCTATTTGGGGTAATTCACCACTGTGAGAATCTGGGTGGGGCAGTGCCCTTCCACTATGGAAGCTGAAAGGGCCAGGTACTCCTGCCTCTCACAACTAAGGCACACAGTGCCAACCAGAACTTTGAATCTTGAGTGTGGTGACTCAAAGATAGGGGGACAATTATGAAATCAGTCTAACAGCAGCAGGGGAATCACATCTTATGTAAACCACTCCTAGTTTCTAATGTTATTTTATGAGCATGGTTTATTTCAGCTTTCCTGTCCATTTTGCAAGCTACCAGATAGCCTTTTAATAAATATTTTCTGCTTAGGCTAGCCAAATTTTGATTTATTTACAAGCAGAATTTGGGCCAATACAGGATCATAATTTTAGGCACATAAATTGCTGCACTACCCTCATATTTACACTATATACCATATAGGCTTAACTGGCTTATTTTGGGGGAATATGAATTTGCTTTTCATCCTAATTCTCAGCTATCTACTGCTGCTACTGATATGCCTGATGCAACCACCCTTTTTCCTTTCTAACCTGTTGTATGCCTAGAAACTAGATCCTCAAGTACCTATAATGCAAAGCAAAAGTACAGACTTGCAGTGAAGGCCTGAAGGGTCTGAGAAAAATGCATAGATTTCATGTCTGCTTTAATTGCTTAGTGGATTTTTAAACTTCAAGCTTCTCTGATGTATTCAAAGTGGTAGGTTAATGTTATATTTGTAGTTTCTTCTTTCCGTTATGAAAAAAGTTACTATTATTGGTTATAATTAACATCAATTGAGCTATTTCCTAGGCACTGTTGTTCTAAGTGCTTTACATGTATTAGTAATTCATATAATCTCCAAAATAATCCTAAAAAAGATCCTAAGAAGTATTAGTTACACTGTATATGTTATTATTTACCCTTCTTATCCACACATTATCTATCTCATATTTTATTAGCACCGCACTCTACCGAGTGAGCCACGGGCCAGCCCTATCTATCTCATATTTTTTATCTTTTTAAAATTAAGAACAAAATTTTAACCAGGTTCGCTGCTTTCTCAAAAGTTTTTTTCATTTCTCATCTGAAGTCATGAAGCTCCCAAATTAGATAATGGTTTTATTTATGTACATTTGAACAGAGTGAGATGTTAGTAAAAACATGTTCCATCTAGATTCATCCATTCTAGAAATACTTTTAAAATAAAATTTACATGAGAATTAGCTATACAGTAGTAGCTTAATAGAGAATTAGCTATTTCTAAAATCCTGCAGATATATCAAATTCTAAATATCTATTATCTCTGGGCCGGCCCGTGGCTCACTCGGGAGAGTGCGGTGCTGATAACACCAGGGCCGTGGGTTCGGATCCCCTATAGGGATGGCCGGTTGGCTCAATGGGTGAGCGTGGTGCTGACAACACCAAATCAAGGGTTAAGATCCCCTTACCGGTCATCTTTTAAAAAATAAATAAATAAATAAATAAATAAATAAATAAATATCTATTATCTCTGAATAAGTAATCACATGTCTTCTAAAAAGGAAGAATTATATATTATGATCATCTGTGCATGATCTCTCGCCCTTATTAATACTGAGGAAGATCCCAACAGAATCTCAAAATACCTAACCTATAAGGATTTAAACAAGCTTATTTGAAAAGTGTACGTATGTGACAAACTAATCTGAGGGAGGAGGAAATCCATGGGGTATTTAATATTATAATGTTTTCTGAATGACAGAACCTAGAACACAACAACTAATCCTAGCCTTTAAGGATATTTTAGATGGCTCACATTTTGAGGGGGGAGGGGGAATGTCTATGCCTTTAAAGTTTCTCTACCTCAAGAACATGCAAGCAAAACAATTCTGGCAATACTAAAGTTAAGCTCAAATAGAATCAATAAATGTTGGTATCAGAGTCCAAGTATAAATCTGTAATTGCAAATCAGCCTTATAAAACCCAAGTGTCCGTGAAAACTAAAAATTGAGTTAATATAAGAAATTACTCCTGATTTAAGCAAAAGAAGCAGAAATCCCTTGAAATGTGTTAAATCCTTGCCTTACTAAATACTTGCTTTTCACTATGAACTTCTTTTTTTTAAAGTCTAACCTGATCTTTTTTTGTCACCTTCTCCTATTCTCTCAAAGCTATGAATACAACTGTCTATTATTACAGAATGTTATAGTTGAATCTTTGAAAGTCATTTAGTTTAATCCCCTCGTTTACAGATGAGGAAATAGGCCCAGAGTGTTTAAACATCTTGTCTGTTAAGCCAGAACTAGATGCTTGGTCTCCTGCCTCTTTGTCTACTGGATTAGCAACAATACCAGGCTGACCACAGCAACACCAACAGGAAACAGAGTGCACAGAATCTAATCTCCTCAACATTCTGTTATCACAGCACTCTATGCTTCACTGAAAGCAAAGATTATAAATTTTTTCCTTTCAAAAGATATTCAAATGGAATTTCTAAAGTCACCCCATGAAAATATCCTGTTTACTGAAGAATGGATAAACTTCTAGGATAGAATTATGGGTGCTACTGAGATCAGTAGCAGAGAAATTTGGGAACTTTCGGTGCTGTCCATTGAAATTTTAACATTGAAAACACCGCAGCAAAAAAAACAATTTGCTTCCTTTCAGCAGCTGGTAGATGGTAAGGCTATATGGTGTTTTGTAGCATAGGCTTAAAAATCACAGCTCACTATGTATATGACTTTAAGCGAGTTACTTTACGTCTCTCTATAATTCAGTTTTTTCATCTATAAAGTGGGTTAATATAAGTATCTATACCTCATAAGGTAGTTAAGAATATTATAATGCATAATATGTATAAAGAACCCAGGACAGTGGCTGGTACAGAGAGGGTCTCAGTAAATTTTAGTTTCCATTTCCAAGTGGCTCTTTTACTTGCCTATTGTAATAGCTTCAGAATTTATTAGAGTCTGGTTAGTAAAAGGAAAATTAGTTTTCAGTCTGCTTTGCAGGATGAGGGACAGGAGACCAAGACAAAGTACTGAAAAGAACACTAGACTGAGTGGAGTCAAATATGAGTTTAGTCACTAATTAGACAAGTGATTCTGAATAGCTTGTCTAACCATTTTTTTTCATGCCCTATAATGATATCAAAGCCCAAGTATAAATCTGTAATCGTAAATCAGCTTTATAAATACCCAAGTGTCCATGAAAAGTAAAAATTGAGTTGATAAGCATAAGAAATTACTCCTGATTCAAGCAGAAGCAGAAGTGCCTTGAAATGTGTTAAATCCTTGCACTAAATACTTTCCAGAAGCTCAACTATATATTTTCTTAATTTCATCTTCATGTTCTCAACAAAAGTAACAAAAATAAGACCAACAAAATTCTCTTTTGCCAGCATTAATTTTTTAAAAAACATTTCTCATTAATGGTTTTAGTCAAGAATGACAGCACAGTAATATAAAAAAACCTAGATTTATTTGTTATGCTATTACAAAAACAAAACAATTATCATTTGAAGTACTCTGAGGACTTCATCCCAGTTTCATTTGTTCTGTTACAGAATCTAACCTAAGAGGCTGGAAATTAAAAGGTATAACCTAAGAGGTTATAACAGCCTAGACCAGTGAAACATGGTGAAAGGAGCAAAAACTAGTCAGAAGTACTTGTGTTAGTGGTAGTATGTGGCTGGGCTGTTTCTGAAGAGGCTTCCTAGAGATGCCTGAATTAATGTGGGCCCCAAATTAGTAAAAGACTCTTGCCCTGTGGAGAATAAGCAGAGGCTAGGATTCCTCTGAGATCTCTTTGTCTTTCTTTTTAGGGGTAACAATATCCTTGGGCCTCAAAGAGGTGTATCTTAGCTTCAGCCTCTCTCTTTCCACTCAGTCCACCACATAGGCCTGCTAGCTTACAGAAGATGCATACAGTGAAGGCAGGAATTATAGGCCTACTCAGAGGGTACCTAGACACAGAAGGTTTGGGGGCAAATGACAAACTACAAATACCTTCTTGGTTAAGTTAATTCACCTTTGTTAATAAAAGTCATAGTTTCTTCTGCTGGTGACAACTTGCTGTCTCAGTATACTTTATCTCAAGAGAGAACTGGTTCAGGTGAGTTTTGGAGAAGGAAAAAGGCTTTCATCAACCCCACTCCAGAGTGGAAGAGGAACCAAGTTCTCTCCTACAGTTATGAGCAAAATCTGAAAAACAAAAGGTTTACATGTTTATAATAAAAATGGCTATTATTTATTGAATGCCTAGTCAAGAGTGCCAGGAGACTGGATGCTTAGATATATTACACCTCAGTCTTTGCAACAACCTGCCAGGTCGTTATTATCATCCCCATTTTACAGATGAGGAAACTGATGATTACAGAAGTTATATGCCTTGTCCAGAGGCACACAGCCAGTCCATGGTAGTCATAATTCCACTATTCATGTGCCTTCCCCTTCACTCACCTCATTATCCATTATCTTGAAATGATTAATGGTTGCATAAACACTCTAATTATTCCCTTTTCATTCATTAAAGGCACATACAATTGTAAGTGATTAAAAATTCACAGGCATTGTTTGGAAATCAGGTCAATTATCCAAATGAAGAACATGTATAAACTTTATGAATAAAATACTTCTCTGCCACTGAGCTCTAGCATAAAATAAAAAACAAACCTTCAGCTCATTAGAAAGTTGGTAGCTATTTTATGGACATTTCACCATTACAAAGAATTCTAAGAATTCTTGCCAGGGATTGCAAAAACATCCCATTTGTACAACTATTAGTGACACACCAAATGAGTTTCTCATGATCCTTTTTAATAAAGTGGTAGGTGTTCTCTGTACGGTCTATTCTTCAAGAAGAAATATGTGAAAGCCAGAAGATCCAAAAACCTGTTTTCCAGTTTCAATAAAACAGTTACTTAAGTATCACTGAACTGAAAAAAAATCAACATGCTACAAAAAACATGATGAGAAACAAGGAAAGAAGACTTAAGGTGCTATCAAAAGATTTCCCATGAAGTAGAATAGTGCAGTTATTGAATCTAGAACTGTGAGAGCTAAAATTAAAGTTAACAGAACTCCAGCAATATGAACACATGATTTTAACAGGAGACACTGCTGATTTTAGACCATATGGCTACCAATGGCAGAACTGTGAGGGATGAAGATATAAATCACAGAACTCTAAGAGGTTATTTTCTGATAGTTCCACTGGCAGGATTTGAGAAGTAGAGATACAATATCACAATTCTTGGTTAGTATAAGAGGCAATGTTATACAATGCCAATAACTTGGAAGGTAACTGGAATTTTAAAAGGATGGTTTCCCATATAAAATGAAAGAGGGTATGGGAATTAAAACTTTTAACAGGAAAAAAAGCCAATGATTACCAAAGGTTTAGAACTAAAATCTATACAAGAACAAAACAGAGAGAATTTTGAAATATTTATCACAGCAGGGAATAACTAGGGATCTCACAACCTAATTGGATGATTAACAGAGGTAGAAGAGTCAAGTCAAAATATATAAATCTTGCCATGCTATTACTATATGCTTTAATACAATAAAAGGACCTGAATAGCAGTGGCATTTCAAAGATGCAGAGACAGCCAGTATTCAAGAAAATAATACTAAAAGGTCACAGGTAGGACCTCTGTAGGGGGGGAAAGAGGAAGAAAAATTCAACAATGTGAAAATCAGGGCTGGCTTGTGGCTCACTCGGGAGAGTGTGGTGCTGATAACACCAAGGCCACAGGTTCGGATCCCTATATAGGGATGGCTGGTCAGCTCACTTGGGAGAGTGTGGCGCTGACAACACCAAGGCCACGAGTTCGGATCCCTATATAGGGATGGCTGGTTAGCTCACTTGGGAGAGTGTGGTGCTGACAACACCAAGTCAAGGGTTAAGATCCCCTTACCGGTCATCTTTAAAAAAAAAAAAACAAAAACAAACAAACAAACAAAAAAAACCAATGTGAAAATCGTACAGCTTATAAAAGGAAGGACTACTATGACTATTAGTCCTAGTTCTGCATGACCTTCAGTTATTATCTAACATACAGTTGAACTACACAGGCTGGCAAAGGACAATACATTTCTCAGACTAGCAAGGTAGCAAATAAAAATTTAGGGCCAAACTTCAGGCAAAGCTTATGAGAATGTCAGAGGAGAGAAAACTGGCAGACAGTGCCTATGTTGCCATGAAAAACAGGCAGGAAACAACCTAGAAAATGATAGCTTTTGGACAACTGTACACAGACTTGTTATGGTTTGGTAAATCAGCCTTGAACAATAAGGTGCCTAGGACCTTTGTCTCCCGTTATTTTCAAGAGGAAAACTGATACCAGATTATGATTAAAGGCTTAAACTCAGCTTGGAATTACTTGTACTTCCTCCTTAAGCTGAAAAGCAGTGAGTTATTGCAAATCTCTGGTTTGTGTTTTCTTTTCTTTTTTTTTTTTTTCTTTTTGTCTTTTTTTGTGACTGGTAACGGGATCGCAACCCTTGGTGTTGCACCCACACCGCGCTCAACCAGTGAGCAGACCGGTCTCTATATGGGATCCGAACCCTCGGCGAGAGCGCCGCTGCGCTCCCAAGCGCCGCACTCTACCGAGTGTGCCACCGGGCCAGCCCTGCTTTGTGTTTTCTGATGAACACATTAGGGTTTCAAACATTACAAGTGAGAAAAGGTGACTAAAGAAAGACTATGGCATGATCTCAGATTCTACTGCTCCCACCTGAGCCAACCTGAGAGGTCTCCATTTCTGTATAAATGACTAATATCATTCTCATAAGTTCACTGAAGATGAGTCTGTGTCTTATTCTTCTATGTACTCTCAATGCCTAGTGCATGTTTGGCATGTGGTAAGTATACAGTAAATGTTAAGCTGAACTGTTTACAGACTTTGATTTCTTATGGAAAAAAATATGATTTTCCATAACTTTAGAAATGGATATAACATTTTTCCAGGCTGCTAATTATATACAGCTGTCTTTAATTATGAAAATAAAATAAATCATTTCACATGACTTTCATGCTCAGTGACAAGGGAGAAAATAAACTACTCACCTTAACGCAGCATAAATCATTTTCAGTGATCAACATCTGCATCCTCAAACTGTCCAGCAACTGTTGGTGTGGTATCTACCTCCATTCCATCTGAACAAAAAATTTAATTGCTGAGCAATACTTTACTGAACACCTGCACCAGCCAGCCGCCAACCCCCCCCCCCAAAATAACAAAAAAATCCCACTTTACCAAACACTTCAGATAGTCAATTTATAACTTCGACCAGAAGGAAGCTAGTGCCCTCTGCTGGTAAGACTTGCTATTTTGTTTTCTTTAGGAACAAAGTGAGAAAGGAAAATGCTACTTGTGGATTTAGACCAAGTAAAAATCAGTCTATACATTTAACATTTACTTTGTAAATTCTCAAACCTCAACACTAAAAGAACACTTGGTAGGAACTTTCAAATGCAGGAAGTATAGTATTTACTATTAGACTATTTTATTAAGGTATGTAGTCCTACCCTCACAAAACTTACAACAGAATTCAAGAGAAAAGACAAAATTAGTAGAGTGCTCTTCTTACTTATCTCTGTTCTTTACATCACATTAAATAAAAGGTAGGGAGAGGATGAGGAAAAAAAAAAAGCCCTGTGGAAAGAGTTGTCTACAGCTGCTTTCTCTACTTCCTCACCTCCCATTCACCTGTCAATTCTCCAGCCCACCACAAAGTGGCTCCTGCCCACAGCCCCTTGGCACCCCATCACCTGGACATACGAACATTAACACATCTAAAATTAATTCATCTTTCTATATAAAAAATGCTTCCAAACAGTCTTGCTAAAGGGTACTTCTTTTCTGCCCAAACCAGAGCTCCTACCATGTTTCTAACTTCTGTTGTTTCTACCTCCTACATCTCTCAAATCTGCCAGGGCTTTTGATATTCATTGCCACTACATAATTCAGATCACTATCTTTTATCTAATTTAATACGTAAGTCACATAACAGAGTTTCTCTTCTTTCCTCCAGTATTTTTCCTTTCCAAACTGTTTTCCACATCGCAACCAGTCATCTTCTGAAACACAAAACTATAATTCTTCAATATTTCTCACTGACCTAAGGGTGATATTCAAATTCTTTAACACAGTTTTCAAGTTCCTCTAAGACACTACTCCACCTTTATCTGTACCATTGACAACTACCCTTCACATCCAAAGTTTCAGACATAATGAACTACTTTCAGTTCCCCAATGCTGAAGAGTGTTTTGAAACTTTGCATATGACTAATCATTTTACCCGACTCTTTCCCCAACCTGTGTGCAACGCCCCCTTCATCTGGGTTACTTCTATACATCTTTCAGATCCTGGCTTAGATGTCAGTTACTCTATGAAACTTGAAGCTTTCCCTGACTATCCAGGTTGGGTGAAGGGCACAGCCCCTAAGATTCCACAGCTTCCCAAGCATCTCCTATATTTCAGTGCTGTATCTAAAGGTACTGTTAACTTACTTTTCTCTTCACTAGAATATGTCATCGATATGAAGACAGTAACCTCATCTATCCTGAGCACTGCTGTATACTCTGTCCCTGGCGCAGTAACTTAATACCTCTTACATAAATTAGCACGTGAAGACAGCATGTATTTAAATGGCAAAAAGAATGATGTGGATACTTAGGACAGAGGATGGGGAATGGCATAGGCCAAAGAAGTTTTATATACAGAAAACTCCAATGTAATAATGAGGCTTATGAATAAAAGTCCAAAAAATCTCACTTTACCAAAAAGTATATGTGATCTTAAAATAGTTTGCTATACAACATTACACAAGGAATTTTACAATTAAAAAAATGCTATGTGCATAGACATTGATCACAGCATTATGAGAGAAAGTTAAATGTACCAATAAAAGAAAAACTATGGTAAGCCTCTTTAAGAATATTCTGCAGTCACTAAAAATTAGAAGTGTTAAAACTTTGTAGCAACAGAAATACATGTATATTAAAAACATATAAAATGTAAGAAGTGCTTATAAAAGTGGCAGGTATATTATTTTTCGCATATTACTAACTTAATCCTCTTACCACTTATTAGCTGTTTGACCCCTCAGTTTCCTTATCTGTAAAATGGGAATCATAACTGCATTCACCACACAGGGTTCTTAGAAGGATTAAATGAATAAATATGTGTGATGTGCTTAAATCAGGATCTAGAACATAATCACCATTATCTAAGTGCTTTATTGAGGGTAGTAGGAACAAGACTGGAGACACTTGGGGCAAAGACAGGGTTTACTCTTTAGAGTCAGAACTATATGGTGGGCATCAGGAAATCACTAAGGGGACATCCTTATATAGTGATGACGTTAAAAGTGTTCTCAGAAGATCAGTGAACTGGAGGAAAGGATGATAGATAAATTTACTATCGTAAATGCACACACACACAATTGGTTCTGTTTCTCTGGAGAACCCTAATAGAAGAGGGAAACTTGGACACAGACAGAAGACAATGTGAAGACATAGGGAGAAGACAGCCATCTACAAGCTAAGAAGAGAGGCCTGAAACACAGCCCTCAGAGGGAATCAGCATTAGACTTCTAGTCTCCAGAATTATGAGACAAACTTCTATTGATCAAGCCACACAACCTATAGTACTTTCTTATGACAGCCATAGCAAACTAATACAGATATACAACAGAAAATTGATAGTAGAGATCTCCCAGTTAAAACTGTACTTGGTTTTTTAAAAAATTTCTTCTTTGCATGTGCACATTAAAAATTTTTTTGACTATGAACACAGACTATTTTTGTTAGGGAAAAAAATCACTAAAAATAAAATTACAGAAGACTCCCCATTCTATATAATTCTAAATTTGCTTCCTGTACTATAAAAGAGTTAATTCTGAAATTTCTCTCAGAGTTTCCCAAAGAACTTATATGTCTCTCCATGACTTCCCTTATTGCCCAAATGCCCACTTGACTGTTCACACTTAAAAGAAAAGGGGCAGGGCAGGTTAGCTCACTCTGTGGAGTGTGGTGCTGATAACACCAAAGGTCAAAGGTCCAGATCCACAGTACTGGCCAGCCACCAAAAAAACCAAAACAAACAAACAAACGAAAAGGAAAGAGGGGGAGAGAGGGAGGGGGGAGAGCAGGAGAGGGGGGGAGAGAGGGGGGAGAGAGG